CTCTAGACCGAAGTAATGAAGGGACTACCCTAGTCAGTCTCTATTATATACACAGAAGTCGATCTCCATTGTATAAACAAAAATCTCCATTATATGAATAGAAGTCGATCTCCATTGTATAAGCAGAAATCTCCATTATATGAACAAAAGTGTCGATCTCCATTGTATAAACAGAAGTCGAATCTCCATCGAAGCGACATCCTAACGGCTAAGGCCATCGACATTGGTTCGACCTCGTTCGAACCACGACGGATACTACTTCGACGACAGTCGAAGCAACGTCCTAACGGCTAAGGCCATCGACATTGGTTCGACCTCGTTCGAACCACGACGGATACTACTTCGACGACAGTCGAAGCAACATCCTAACGGCTAAGGCCATCTACATTGGTTCGAACTCGTTCAAACCAAAACGGATACTACCTCGACGACAGTCGAAGCAACGTCCTAACAGCTAAGGCCATCGACATTAATTCAACCTCGTTTGAACCACGACGAATAATACTTCGATGATAGTCGAAGCAACGTCCTAACGGCTAAGGCCATCGACATTGATTCGACCTCGTTCGAACCACGACGGATACTACTTCGACGACAGTCGAAGCAACGTCCTAATGGCCAAGGCCATCATCAGTTCGACCTCGTTCGAACCACGACGAATACTACTCCGACGACAGTCGAAGCAACATCCTAACGGCTAAGGCCATCGACATTGATTCGACTTCGTTCGAACCACGATGGATACTATCTCGACGACAGTCGGAGCAACGTCCTAACGGCTAAGGCCATCGACATTGGTTCGACCTCATTCGAACCACGACGGATACTACTCCGACACAGTCGAAGCAACATCCTAACGGCTAAGTCCATCGACATTGATTCGACCTCGTTCGAACCACGACGGATACCACCTCGACGACAATCGGAGCAACATCCCAACGGCCAAGGCCATCGATGCTGGGTCGATCTCGTTCGAACCACGACGGATATTACTTTGGCAATAGTCGAAGCAACATCCTAACGGCTAAGGCCATCAACATCAGTTCGATCTCGTTCGAACCACGACATCTTCTAAAAGGCAATATCCGCGAAGACTAAGTATAAAACAAAAACAACAAAAAGGGAGAAGCAACAAACAGACGAAGCGACAAAACAAAAGTTTATATTACAACAAAAATTATTTACATTCGTCCACATGGACGGATTTTAGTACACCCCACAGCCAAAGAAGATGCGGAAGCAAAAATATACAAGCTTAAACTAACTACCACCCCCTGTGGGATAAGCGTCCTCATACCATGGGTCTGAGTCAAGGCGATCGACATCCTCGGAAGCAGCATCCTCCCCATCGGGAGAGTCGGGGTAATACCCACATGATTCACGAGCTTTGCGCGCTTCATTTCGCACCACCTGAACCTCCGCCTCCGTCGCTCGACCATCTACATGTAAAGCTCTGTATATATCAAGCCGAGCCTTTGCATAGACCCACATCTCATAGGAACTACGATGCGGGCCCCGACCAAATGGGGGACGAGACGAGGAGGGCCGAGAATGGCATTCCGCTTCCTCAGACCTCGGTGGGGTGATTTGCCTCTGCAATGCGGTCAATTTGTCGGCATTAGCACTTAGCTCGCCTTTAAGTCTGTCGATTTCTGCCATTCTAACACCAAGCTCGGCGGTCAGACCAACTACCCTCTGCTGCAAGTCGGCATTCTCCGCAGCCACCCCTCAATTCAATTCGAGTTCATCATCCTTCGCCCTAAGGAGAGCCTCCACCTCACTATTACGAGCAACGACCCTCACTAGCTCCCCATCCGTCTCCTCCAGTTACGCCCCCTGCGTTCCAATTGGGCCTCCCTCTCCTTAAGCCCCTCGCTGAACACTTGGAACTCGGGGTCCTGTCAGTAGAGATCAGCCACCGCTTGATGCTTAGCACGGCATTTTTGATACTTCCTCAACATCTTCTCATAGAGGTCCGTCCTCTTCCGCTCACGATGGTCCCTCTTCACCTCCAGGACGAGGTTCTGGGAAGAAAAACAAGAGTAAGCATATTTCCATACCCATCCTACAATAAGAGAAGAGAAAAGTAGTAAGGTGATGAAACCTACTTGTAAAGCCATGCCGGCAACCTTCCGAGACAGCTCCATATCGTTCATCGCCCTGAGCATGCCACTCTCAGGGGCGGCGCACAACAGGGTTAGCGACGATGCGACCTGCTCACTATTCAGCAGCAAGTTGCAATCCCTAGGGATTGTTATATGACGGTCAGATCCATCCATCGCCGCCTCCACACAGGTGTGACAACCCAAAAACTCGTTTAAGTCCTCAGGGGCAACATCGGAACCCGACTCATTGGCCTCCACGTCAGGCACACCGACGTTAGTCGACGAACCCCCCTCAGCGGGGCGCACAGACCTGACCCATGGGCTGACTCTTCCCTCACGTGCCGGCCTCCCTGATCGGACAGCATCGGCCATAAACATGGGCGCCGGGGCCACCCGAGATGCTCCACCATCATCGGCTTCAGTAGCCACCCCGTTTCCCATCTCTAGTCTTCTCCTTTTTCTTTTCGGCGGCTCCTCACCATGAGAAGATTCGTCGGCGGGTTGTGGGGCCGATGTCAACAAAGTCGGCTCCCCTATAGCCACAGCCGTGGGCGTAGCTCCCTGATGGGGTGTAAGAGAACGACCCTCCCGAACAGGCTCGCATAGAATATCTAGAGCGTCCGCAGCGGTAGTAAGACGCACGGAAGCAGGGACTGTCGCCTTCTTCCGAGAAGCACCTCGACCTATGACCACAAAATCACGGTTAGGCAAGGTCGTCTAACCGACAAAGCAAAATCGAAAGTTTACTTGAAGAAACTTGAGGGCCGTAACGTTGCATGAATGCAGGCCAAGTTCGGGTTTCCTCCACGTAAGGAAGCAGGCCGGCGACCCAGCTCCATAGGTCGGCAACGGGCTGGGGCGGACGGGCCATGGCTGTAATATAAAAGTAAGAACTGCGATAACAACATGCAACAGAGAACTTGATGAACTACAACACTTACGTGTTTTGTTCCATCTTTCTGGAAATCCGGTAGGGTTGGAGACCATATGCTCGGTCCTGACAAAGAAATATTTGTGCCAGAATTTACGGCTCGGCCGGTCGTCGGTTCCAACCGCCAAACCCTTCGTACCACGAATCCTTAAGTGCACCATGGTCCCTCTAAGGAAACCGGCTGTAAATAAGTGCAAGAGATGACGAACAGAGATGTCACATCCGGCCAACGCTGCATATTTAGTCAGTAGCAGAAGCACCTTAAGCGTGTACGACGTGAGCTAAGCCGGGCAGATGTGATAGAATCTGCAGAGTTCCTCCGCCAAAGGAAAAAGGGGAAGACCGTAGCCTATCAAGAAGGGGTACTCGTAGAAGGTACAATAGCCCGGCCTGTGAACGTCAACGTGATCCTGCCCCGCCGGAATCATCTCTACGTAAGCTGGAATGCCGTATTTTGCGCGGAGGTCGTCCAAGTGGTTCTGTCCCATCTCAGAATGCACTAGAACCGGAACTGCGGAATCCTTGTTGAAATCACACCGAGGCGAAGAGTGCCTCGGCAACAAAGCTTCTACAGTCAGAGGACTGACATCCTCTTCCACTTCCACCTCCCCACCATTGGAGGAGGGTGGCGCATTCAACGGAGCTACCTCAGGAACCCTTTCTGTGGTACGGCGAGATTTGGGCATATTTTCGTTCGAAAAAGATCACGCGAAAAGAAATGAGGAAGAAGAAAAATCCCTGGACAAGAACGAAATGTGCAGGAATGCGAAAATCAATAGAGGAGGGCTGGGAAAGTTCTCTGGAATGACCAAAAGTTCTTCAACAAAATTAAACCCTTCCCCTATTTATAAGGTTGGGTGGCGCCAGAATCGAGGCATCTGATTTCAAATCGGCGTGGGAAACCAAGTGCCGAAGCGTCAGTTCTCTTCCGCCTCGAGAATACGCGTAATGATGACATATGCGGACGCTGACGTCACTCAAGGCAGAGTGTTTTACTTCAACGTTCTGACAGGAATGATTCTCATCTACCACCAGTCACGTCAAATCAAGTCAACAAGTCAAACTCTCCCTGACAGAAACATTGATTCCGCCCATCGAGGACGCATCTCGTTGCAACCCCGATGAGCGGAGGGACTAAATGTATGGGGTCGAATTTGACCAATCACGTCCTACCATCAGCATGACCAACCACTGAATGTTTACGATACGATACGAAGGAACGACCCAGGGGTAAGAGGAGGAACGACCTCGACCTGTCATCGGCTCCGCCGTAGAGTATGATTTTTTCATTCTCATGACTCAGCTTAGATCTCCCATTATATAAAGGGGATCCGGGTCTTGTAATAGGTAGATAACTGGTAATAGAAAAACTGACTCTCTCTCTTAATCTTTATCTCTGTATCATTCTCTCTCTCTCTCTTTTATCATTATTACAGTTCCGATTGTTGAAACGATCTTAGGATTTATTATCTTCGACTACGATTTACCCCTTCATCTCTTTGATTGATTTGCTTAAAAAGAATTTAACATCTTTTGAGTCAAACACTTGTACTCACTACTGGAAAATGAGCCTATGGCAACAGAAGTTTCCGCAACGGTTGTATAACCGTTGCCACATAACCTCTATTGCAACGGTTTTAACCGTTGCCAAAGGTTTTGGATGCTATTAGTACACTTTAGCAACCAAACCGTTGCGGTACGTTTTCCTATAGCTACGGTTTCTTTAACTGTTACAATATATCTATCAGTGGCAACGGTTTTTTCCAAAATATATTTATAGGAATGGTTATTGTTCCCTCCTAAATTTTTTCGCTTAGCCCGCCAAATCTAATACTCTCTGTTTAAACTTTTTTAACTTTTTTATTTTATTTTTAATATGTAATGTAATACATAGTCAAAACCCACAATTTTTATTTATTTTTTAAATAAAAGTAGATGTGGTCTAGCTCCAGTTACTTTTCTCCCCAAATATAAACCCTTTTCACTTTTCCTTTACTTCCATCAAGTTTTCCCCCAATTACTCTAATCCATCATCCCCATTTTCCCTTTTTCATTTCACTCTAGCTCCAGTCACATTTTTCCCAAATCTGAACCCTTTTCACTTTTCCCTCATCTCCAATTACGTTTTCGATTTTCCCCAAATCACACTAATTCCTCAGACCCATTTTCCCCTTTTAATTTCACACATTGAAATCCCTTAAATCCAGTCGTCCAGTGAGAGATCTTCAGAAGATCTGTGTCCGTTTTGCTAACATTCAGGCTATCTGCTCAGCGTCGTCTTGTTCAACCCACGAACTCGGCAGTCGGTGATTTCTATAGCAAAAAATCTTCGACGCAGAAGGCACTCCGTCAGAAACTGATTTTAGCTGTAAGTTTTTCTTTTTCAATTTGGGTATTTTCTTCTTTAATCGTTCCTTTTTTCTATAATATTTAGAGTGTGGTGGTGTATTTAATATCTTGCTTTCTGTTGATTTTTTGAACCCCAATTGTTAGGGTTTTATTTTCGTTAAGGTGTGGCTAGTGTGAGTCTAAATTTTTAGAATGAATGTTCGTATAGATAATCTGCCAAAGATGATTTTTCAAAATGGTCAGTATTTTAGTTATGTTTGCTTTTGACATCTTGAATTTATTAAGTGATTAGACTTATTTATGTCTTTTGTATGGCTGACTAAGTACTGGCAAAGCTTCTGCGTTGGTTAGTACATTCTTAGGCGCTACGAGTTTAGTAAAGCTGAAGTAGTATGTTAATGTTTTTCTCAATTTGTGTAGTTTATTGACTTGTTGTGTTAGCGGATTGGAGGTAGGGTCATGGTTGATGCTTCATCTCCTGCATCAGCATTATTAAGCATCTCAAAGAAATTAATGTTTAATTTCTGCCACTGTCATGCTTTTCAAAGTAAAGTTGGTAAACTAGTAAAATTTCGTGGTGCACTCTCTTGTATTTCTGCAACTTTTTAATGGTCGACGAGAGTGAGTAGTGAGCTGAGTTGCAGCATAATAAAATGATAAACAAATCATGACCTTTATGTGGCAGCCTCAATCTGAGTTATATTCAGTCTGCTTATAAGTTTTAGGGCAGCATAAAAGAGTATAAACCATTGGTATGGGCTATAATACATAATTCTGAATGGGCAACCCCACATTGTTATATTTGCAGGCTGCTTCCGTTAGTTTACCGGTTGGTTCTCTTGTTTGGGTAGAGGATCCTGATGAAGCCTGGATAGATGGGGAAGTTTTGGAGGTTAATGGTTCAGACATAAAGGTTCTCTGCACTTCTGGTAAAACGGTAAGTGAGCACATGGCATCTTATTGTTGGAAAGAAGTAAATGATGAGCTGGTTCATTCAACGAAGAGGACATTGAGTTGTATCTTGCTTACTTTTTCTAACACATTGGTAATCAAGCAGAGCTTTGGGATATGACGAACCTCGTTCATTTACTTTCTGAAATCTGTGGCAGGTTGTTGTTAAGTCTTCCAATGTCTACGCCAAAGATGCTGAAGCTCCACCTTCTGGTGTCGATGACATGACGAAGCTGGCTTATTTGCACGAACCAGGAGTCTTGCATAATTTAAAGGCTAGATATGATATTAATGAAATATATGTGAGTGTCTTGTCATTTTTTAAGATCTCTCTTTTTAATGTTCCGGAGTAATTGTCTTTAATGAAGTAACCTAATAAATGATGATTACAGACATATACAGGGAATATATTAATCGTTGTCAATCCTTTTAGAAGGCTACCTCACTTATCTGATACACATATGATGGACCAATATAAAGTTGCAGCTTTTGGGGAGCTAAGTCCTCACCCTTATGCTGTTGCAGATGCGGCATACAGGTCTGTGCTTCTCTGTTGTTTATGAACCAAACAGCCTATTTTGAAATTGTCATTTAAAAATATATTTACTATGGATGCAGACTTATGATCAATGAAGGAGTAAGTCAGTCAATATTGGTTAGTGGGGAGAGTGGCACTGGTAAAACAGAAAGCACCAAGCAACTCATGCGCTATCTTGCTTACATGGGCGGGAGAGCTGCGGCTGAAGGTAGTAGATCAGTCGTGCAGCAAGTCCTGGAGGTAATAAATCTTACACTGTTGTACCTATAGCGTGGACAATTGATCGCCGATAATTGTTATTTTTGTAGAACCAAATATCATCAGTTGCCATCGAATCTTAATCTGATCTTCGCGATGACTGCATTTTTGCTTATTGCAGTCTAATCCTGTTCTGGAAGCATTTGCTTATGTCTATTTACTAGCAGCTGGTAGGTCTAACTGAACTCTATTATGCCAGTAGCCATGGTATGGACATCATGCTGCCAGTCAAAAATATGTCGTCTACTATTATTTAGTCTAGGCATTCCAGAGTCTTTTTCTTTTTGGACCAATTTATTTAGTCTAGGCATTCCAGATGAAAGGTAATGACTTTATTTATCCTCTTTTGTAGGTGGAGTAGATCAAGAAATAGAAGATGAAGGCAATGAAGATCCAGACCTTACTTAAGATGAATTTTGAATTGCTATAGATGAATGTTCTAGGAATCTTTTGTTGTCAACATTTTGAAACTTACTATCTTGAAATGTATTAAACTTATGCACTTGGGGTAGAACATTTACTTTTATGGATATTATTAGCTTGTTGGACGAGTTATATTATTAATAGTTTCATTTTGTGATTTATTTAAATTTTAGTATTATTATTATTATTATTATATATTATATATATATATATATATATATATATATATATATATATATATATATATATATATATATATATGAGCGATATTTCTGTTTTAAATGAACTGTTACAATAGCCTACCAGAACCATTGCAATAGGACACAAATGGCGTTCCATTAGAATGTAAACCGTTCCAATAGATCCGGTAAACTGTTCTAAAATGCCCTCTAAACCGTTCCAATAGGTATTTAAAACCGTAGCAATACAAAAACAACCGTTACAAAATCCATAAATAACCGTAACAATAGCTTATGAAAGTATTGCATTAGATAATATGGTAACGGTTATGAGCCGTTGCATACACATTATAGTAACGGTTTTAAACCGTCCCAATTGGAAGGAATAATCGTTCCAATAGAGAAAGGGAAAACCGTTGCGAGGCGTTTGCTATAAGTCTCTATAGCAACGGAGATGAAAACCGTTCCAATAGCTCTATTGGCACGCGAGCGGATGTGACGGTGTGTAAACCGTTCCAATATCGCTACGGCAACGGTTTATCTACCTATTGGAACGGTTTTCCATGCATTACCGTAGACCAATTTTTCAGTAGTGACTACCTACTGTTTGATTGTTTTCTTGCACTTTGATTTTCTTAATATCTTGTTGTTGTTATCACATGTTGCCACTATTTCTTTTTTCTTGTCTTTAATCGAAGATTTATCGGAAATAGCCTCTTTGCCTTCAGGGTAAGAATAAGATCTGGTACATATAATTCTTCCTAGACCCCCTCTTGGAAAAACTAAATGGGTTTATTGTCTTTGTTGTTATTGTTGAATTTTAGGAGGCTGAATTATTTATTCCCATCTTTTTTTACAATCATGAACTCAAACAAATGGCAGTAAGTACTAGCAAAAGCAAATATTCTCTTCTAGAATACCATCGTTCTCTCTCCTCTCTTATCTTTTCTACTTTACATATAGACTATTACTGGGGGCGTAGCCACCTTTTGCAATTGATCATCCCTCGTCGAAATATTATGAAAAATTATATTGTATATATAAGTAAAAGATTAAATTTGGACGTATATAACATATATTGAACACTCTTTGTCGAAAAATTTATTTACTTCTTTTAAGTCCGAACACTCTTGAGAAAATTCTGACTTCGCCACTGATCACAGCCTTCACACTAAAATTATTCTTCAAACTCTTAACGAGAGATTTTACGTTCGAGCCTTAGGAATGAAAAAATTATGTTTAGTGAGTCTTACATAACATAAATTCAAATTAATCAAGTCCATATATAATACAAATTTCAAACACACACACACAAAAACAAAGAAGTGTTCTTCAGCACACTCTCCATAACTGGAGCAACCAACTCCATTACCTCCTTGTAAATCTTACAACTTTTTTTTTTTCGTTCTTTTTTCCTTTTGTAGGTCATATATGTAAAGTTTGGCATGCTATTTGTGGTATAAGACTTTATTCACTTTAATTCACGTGGTTAGAAATTTCTACTAACAGGATTCGAACGTATGTGGATCTTGTGCCAAGTGTCAATACAAGTGTATAGTTAAGACAACGTATGTAGACACATGCACTGTCCGCTGTTTCATTTAAACAACATTAAAAGAACACAATAACGAAGAACAATCTGCCCATACAGCCCGTGGATTTAAATAAAACATAATATGACTAAGATTTTTAAAGAAATATATGTTTACATGATACAACTTATTTTCATGTTTGCATGGTATTTCATACTTTTTAAATTAAACTACTTCTAATCTTGAATTTGTTGGTCAAAAAGCTTCCCATCTTCACTTCTTGTGAGTTAAAACTGTTGGCTATGTTAACAAACAATAGTTCTACTTTTTTTTTTTTGGTTAAACAATAGTTCTACTTAAATAACAACAAAACTAGAAAGTTGTTGAATGCAACTCAACGTAGTGTCTATTTTGAGCAACCACTTGCACTATATTATAAAACAAAACAAAGTGAAAGTGTGTAGCTAGTCGGGGCGGAGCTAAAATTTAAAGTTTATGAGTTTGGAATTCTAATCCTTTTAAGTTACGAGGTTCTAAATTAATAATATATACGTAATAAATGAAATTCTTACGAGAAATACAGGGTTAGATCAAAACTACTAAGTTTGACAAAACACGATAACGGTATGTTAGTTCCGCCCCTGATAGCAAGGTATAATTTAATGGTCAATAAATTAAGTGGATGTAAATATCTTAAGACAAATGCTTAAATTTCAGTTAAAATACAAATATTAATAAATCAAGTAGTATATTTTATATTTGCCTAAGAGCAAAAACTTTTCGTCACCTACAATAAAATAATCAAAATATGCAGAAATTAATCCGAATACAATAGTTATATAGTAATTAATAAAAAGTGAAAGTGGGTAAAGATTCAGTTTTGAATGCTCTGCAAAGTAAGATAGGGGAGGACATGGGCTGCTTAAATGCCATCAAATACATGTCCTTTCTTATCTATCCATTTATTCCCTTTAAATTCGCATCAAATATCTTGTTTTATTATTACCATATAGACAAATAATTTGAACCCGTAGGGAAGTATTTCTATCTTCTAGCTCAATGATATGTGGCTTTAGGCTGTTAAAAGTGAGGACAAAAGATTAAATTGAAGTACCTTGTTGGAAAATTTTATTTCGTGTCTTATACAACTGACATTAATTTTATGAGGCATCTTTTTTGTCACACAGTCTTGTGGACCAGATTTTTGTGGACCCAGAAGTATAAGATTGTGATCCACCAATTTGTGAGACAAAAAGGAACCTCACGCAACTCTTGTCAGTTAGTTGTGTGAGGCGCATAATAAGACTTCTCTACTTTGTTTATTGTTTAAGTTCCACTTGTTACACAAAGGTATAATTAAGAGAATATAGCCAAACTTTTTTATAATAATTTCGTTTATTTCGAATATCATTTAGTTGTCATAATGAACGGATGTTACAGTAAATATATATTATAACATAATATGAAAAATTAGTTCCAAATAAAACTTAACTGTGTTTAAAATGACAAGATTTTTATTTTATCCTCAATGAAATCTTTTTATAAAAATAACATAACATGTTTAAAATTACAAGATCTAAAAAAATTGCTATGGTATCAACCCTTTAGGGGTCGTTTGGTTTAACGTGTAATAAAAATCATGGTATAACAGAGTTATAATAGTTGTACAACGTTTGATTTACATTTCTATTCATGTAAAGTTAATTTTTGTATTGAGTTAGGGGCCAAATTTGATATAACTTTATACCGCTTTTATTACAAAATAACTAATTCATGTATAACTTATATACAGATAAAGCATCAAAAGGAAAAAAACTGTCTTTCTTTCTTTTCTTTCTAGAAGCCTGTGAAAGTCGTGCAAAGATATCATCTAAAATATTTATTTACTTTTTAAGCTAAAAAGCAACGAGTTTACAATTATACCTGTACATAGTAGGGGCAAGACTTTATACATGTTCTCTAATCAGTTGAGCTTCAAGACCTTCTCCTTAATCGGTAATGCCTACTCTTTTAGACCTCACTTGTGGAATTACATTGAATATGTTGTTATTTTATTGTTGTTGTTTATCTTGGACGTACAATCTTAGTGCAATGAACCAAACACCTAATAAGACATAATCTTTGTATTACTAAATCATGTATTATTAAATATTGTATAATAATTCATGTATAACTTATTCCGAACCAAACAATCTTTAATGTAATATAATAAGGTTCAAGCCTATTTTTTAAATCTTTAAATTAAATTATTTTGTTTAGAGCAAGCCAAATTTTGAGTGCTTTTTCTTCAATTTTTGTTTTTGAAAATATTTTTGTCCACGGAATATGAATAGCTTTTAAAAAAAATTAAAGTTTTCAAAAACTAATTTTAGGAAATTTTCGGATGAAATTTTTTCTTCCACTCAAAAAACTCAAGTTTTTTTCAAACAAAATACATGTCCAAACACAACTTTAACTTTCAAAATTATTTTTCTGTACAACTTCAAAAACTCATTTTTCAAATTTCAATCGAATCTATATACCCAGACGTTAGCTAACGAACGACCTGTTTGGACACAAATTCTCAAATATTTTTTGAAAAATTTGATTTGGATGAAGTTTGATTTGAAATTGAAAATGTGTTTGGATATGAATTTTGGGGAAAGTTTTGATATGATAAAAAGTCCATTTTTTATCTACAAATCTCCAAATGGTCATGATTTGGCCCAAAAAGACGTATTAGGCTATAATTGGGATCTGAAGTTTTAGTTTTCAAAATCTCTCAAAAACTAAGTAGGCGTTTGGACATGAATTCCAAAAAAAAATTCAAATATGAAATTTCACTAAAATTTGAATTGAAGATGAAGTTGTGTTTGGTTATAATTTTTGCAACATATTTGGATGTCTATTTTTTCAAAATCATGAAACATGATTTATACCTCACAACTTGTAAAAAAAATATCAAAACCACCCCAATTTGATTATCCTACTTGAAATAAACAATCAAAATGCTATTGTTTAACTGTTATCATATTCTGTTTTACTGCAATACACAGAAGATACAAAATCAATGTCACATTTTCTAATTCTAGTAACACATAGAAAAGGTGCAAAAGCAGGCATAGCTACATATTTCTCATAACCATATAGTCAAACTTCCAGTAGGCAGAGATCAAGTATCAACTAGGACTGATGTTCCCCCATCAGTCGCCAATGATGTATCTGCCAAAGATGAAAAACTGATGGGGTCATTTTAAAAATATAGGGTAAAATTGTAAAATTAAAAACTAGCAAATTTTCATTTTCAATTGAAAAACTGGTGAGAATCAGTTTTTCAAATTTGAAAATGAATTTTCAAGTGAAAAAGAAAAAATTGGTAGGAATGGAATAACCAACCACTGTTTTCAAAAAAAGTTTTAAAAAAAGAAAAAATTTGTATATCCAAACGGGCTCTAAATTAGTTCTATAAACACCCACATCTTTGAATTTTATTCTTTTTGAAAAAAAAAAAATCCAAAACTTATGACCAAACGCCTAAGAAGAATGTCTTTGTGACATGAAATTAGTGAGTTTCTTTTTTTTTAAGCGTGGGGTCAATTTCTAGTATTTACTTTCTCCGGTCCAAAATAAGTGATTTTTTGGATGTTTTCACACAGATTAAGAAATCCACTTTTTAGCATTAATTAGCAATGGAATTGACCATATTAACCTTTACTATCTCACATAAACATTCCTAACACATATGCCACTATTTACTCCAAGGATAATATAGGAAAAAATCATTAAGTTATTCTTAAAATCTAAAAAAATTATTTATTTTGGACCACAAAAAAAAACCAAAAAATTACTTATATTTTGGATTGAAGGGAGTAGCTTCAAAGTGGAGCAGTAAACAGTATTTCAGGAGACCTTGGGAAAAAATCATTTGAAAAGTCCAAAAATGTCTAATCTTGTCACATAATTCCCGGCCCATTAATTATTGTCATTTCCATTTAAACCCCTCAGGCCTACAAAACCCGCCCTCCACCGCCTCCGGAACTCTAGAGGTGTCAGTCGTCACTGTAAATTTCCACATTCTAAACTCACCAACTCGGTCAGAAAAATCCCATCACCACCCAATCAAATCAAACCACACGACCGCAAACATCCTCGTCTAATCCACGTGTCCTATCACACAATACAACTTGCTTGTAGCAAAATTTACTTTCCCTGTAACTTTAGCATCTCTCATTAATTTTAACCTCACTAGAACATCGAAGATGTCTAAAGCTAAAACTAACCACGGTTAGTTAATACACTTAACCATGGTTAAAACTTCCACTTTTCCATTACTTTATATACAAACTGAACATCACCGCCTAGACTTCCAAAGCCACATTCCAGTAACATGATCGGAGGAAAAAACCACCACCTTAATCCAACGGTTGATATTCCACCATGGCCATACACAGATGATCAAACGGCTAACATGCACTTCATGTTAAGCCCGAACGAGAATTCCAATTCTACCCTTAGTTTTGCTGAAGATTATTATTCTCAGTTTGAGTTAGAAAATGGAGAAATTGAACTTCCGGTGGACATGTACGCATGTGATAATTTCAGGATGTTTGAGTTCAAGGTGAGGAATTGCGCACGTGGGAGGTCACACGATTGGACTGAATGTCCGTACCTTCATCCCGGCGAGAAAGCTCGTCGGAGGGACCCACGTAAGTATCACTATTCCGGTACTGCATGTCCGGATTTTCGTAAGGGGAATTGTTTGAAAGGCGATGGGTGCGAGTTTGCTCACGGCGTATTTGAGTGCTGGCTCCACCCAGCTCGCTATCGTACGCAGCCATGTAAAGATGGTGTGAGCTGTAAACGAAGGGTTTGTTTCTTTGCTCACTCAGCTGATCAATTGAGAGTATTGAGCCCGAACGCTGAATCAGCTTTTGAGCATCAATCTCCTCGGCTCTGCGGTAGAGCTTTGCAATTTGTTTCGTCGCCCGAGTCGAGTTCCCCGCCGACTGAGTCACCGCCTATGTCTCCGATGCTGAGTCGGTCGCTGGGTTCGAACTCGGTTAATGAGGTAATAGCTTCGCTTCGTCAGTTGCAGTTGAACAGGTTGAATTCCATGCCTTCGGCGTGGAATGTGCAATTGGGATCTCCTAGACTCGGGTCGGCTGGACGACCCGTGACCCAACCCGGTTTCTGTAGCTTGCCTGTAACTCCAACTGGGAATTTGACCCGACCCGGGAATCGGTGCTTTGATCTGTGGGAGGAGGAACCTGTGATGGAGAGGGTAGAGTCAGGTAGGGATTTAAGGGTAAAGATGCTTGAGAGGTTGAGTAAGGAGAATCCACTTGATGGGTTAAACCCGAATCTGAATTCGGATGCTCCGAACCCGGATGTTGGGTGGGTATCGGATCTGATACAGTAAAATGGCGGGCCTTGTTTTTGCTTCCTCTATTTTTGCTCTTTATATTAAAGAAGGTGGGAGGAGGAAGAATATTTGGAAATCCTAACTTTATTTTTTGGGTTTTATTGTATGTTTGTATATTCTTAGTATGAATTTAGTGGTATCATATATGGAAAATGATGTTTGGTTATAAGGGGAAAAGTGGTTTAGGGTCTTTTTTTGGATTTGTTATGTGGAAAATTAGGATTTATTTTGGATAAATGTTTAGACAAAAAAAGAAAGTAAATTTTGTTTTCGAGTTGCTGTAGAAAGACATAGCAAATCGAAGATGGATGATTTTGTGTTGTTTTGATATTTAATGATTTTAATCCTCCTAATGTATGTAAGTAAAATATGTTTGTACATTTATAATATTTGGTATTTCTATTTTTATTGTTATTGTCTTCAAGCTTCTTAGTTCACATGTTTTTCATATGTTTATTGTCTGGAATTTCTGCAAGAAAGGTTCTACTTTATTCCTTGTTCTAAACAAAGCCCAAGGTCCTATACAATAAATTGGAAAAAAGAACATGATAAAGAGTAGTGGTGACAAAATGGACTATTATCTCCTAAAATATTGATCCGATAATGAACTTTTAAAAAATGGATTAAATATAGATAAAAACTATATTATCTACTTAGGAAATGGATAACTAATGAATTTAGCTTTTAAAATTAGAGGTTCCTCAAGTTTAAAAATTAAAAAAAAATTTAAAAGTAATCATATTCAATAAGTCATAGATAATATTAATAGTCATATTATTTGGCGGTTAATATATTTTTTATCCATATTAAATATATGTGTTAAGTCGGATAATTTATTCGCTTTTGTATTAGTCTGTTTTTTACTCGATCATATCTGATCTGACCCCCTCGTTTGCCACCCGTAGTAAAGAGTAATGGCACTCTTTCTGGTAATATACTAGTGGAGAGGGGGAGTTTAGGTAATATATTAGATATGGCAAATTTTATTTAGATACTAGCATAATTTTGGTGAAACAATACCGCCTGGTGTGGAAATAGCTTATGATTTGATTTTGCTTGATACGCACGCACTTACTATGATAAGAATTATCTGAATGAACAACCTTGGAACTGATGTAATGTGATGACCTTTTTCACTCGTTAAAGTAAATTTTGCGTTCAGAGGCCTTAAAAATTTCTTTTTGTCTCACCTCGATTTGTGTGCACAGTCCGGGCGCGTTTCCGAAAAGTTTTTATGTGGAAACTAAGTAAAATATAGAAATTTGTTTTTAAAATTGAATAAAGTTGACTTTGGTCAACATTCTTTATAAACGGACCCGGATCCGTGATCCGACGGTCTCGTAGTGTTCGTAGTAAAATATGGACTTGGGCGTATGCCCGGAATCGAATTCCGAGGTCTCGAGTCCGAGAAATGAATTTTTAAAGAAAATTATTTTCTGGAAAATATAGAGGTTTTTAGAAGTGAATTGATGCATTTTCTTGATGGTATCGGACCCGTATCTTGGTTCCGGAGTCCAGTAAAAGTTTGAAATAATAATTGAGTTGAATCTGTAAAATTTGGTAAAGATCGGAATTGGTTTGGTATAAAACGGACCTATAGTTGAGAAAATAGTAATTTTGATGTTCTTGAGTGATTTCATGAATTTGAGGTTTAATTCATAGATGTTGATGTTATTTTGATGATTTGATCGCACGAGCAAGTTCGTATTATGTTTTTGGACTTGCGTGCATGTTTGGGTTGGAGCCCCGAGGGCTCGGGTGAGTTTTGGATAGGCCACGGAGTGAGATTGGACTTAGGAGAATTGCTGGTGTGTCGCAGATGTGTAGCAGGCCTCTTATCTTGCATTTGCGAGATCAGGCATCGCAATTGCGATGCAAGCAGGGTCCGCAAATGCGAGAATTTCGTCGCAAATGCGAAGAACCCAGGGCCAGCATTGTCTCGCAAATGCGAGGTATCCTTCGCAAATGCGAAGTCTTCATCACATGCCAGAAGTCGCAAATGCGACGACTCCTTCGCAAATGCGAAGGAAGCAGGGGTCGCAAATGCGACTGGTCCCTCGCAAATGCGAAGGTGACCGGATTTTTTCATGGTCGCAAATGCGACATATTCTTCGCATTTGCGAAGGTAGCAGGTCCTGAAGGGGTTCGCAATTGCGAACCCTGGTCGCAATTGCGACATCTAAGACCAGTCAATTTGGACTTAAATGCATTTTTCTTCATTCTTCAAACCTTCTCAAAACCTAAACTCTTTTGGGCGATTTTCTAAAGAAAAGTTTTTCTCCAAATCAATTGTAAGTCATTTCTAACTCGTTTTCTTTAATATATAACATCTTTTCACATGATTTCAACTCAAAATCAAGAGTTTTCATGGGGGAAAACTGGGTGTTTTAGGTAGAACTTAGGATTTTCAAATTTTGGGGATTTGGACCTCGATTTGAGGTTTGATTTCAAAATAAATTATATATTTGGGTTCGTGGGTGAATGAGTAATCGGGTTTTGGTTCGAACCTCAGGTTTTGACCATGTGGGCCCGGGGTCGATTTTTGGCTTTTGGGAAAATCTTTAGAAAACCTATTCTCATGCATTAGAACTGATTCATTTAGCATTTATTGATATCGTTAAGTAAATTGTGGCTAGATACAAACAAATTGGTGGTGGAAACAAGAGGTAAAGCGGTAGTTAAGGCTTGAATTGTGTTCGTGGCATTGAGGTAAGTGTTTGGTCTAACCTTAGCTTGAGGGATTAGGAGTTGTGTCTTATTTGCTAAGTGTTAATTATTGAGTACGGCCTATAGGCATAGTGACGAGTATCTATACGTCGGTGTCAAGCATGCCCGTGAGTCTTATACTATGATAAATGTGACTCCGTTTCGTATTGTTCATGCTTTATATGATTACTTCTATTTTTGAACAAGGCTTGTGGAAGTATTATTGGTAAGAGCGTTGGCTCAAGTTGTGAATTGAGTTGTGGAAGTATTATTGGTAATTGAACATTGTAGATCGTTGGCTCAATTTATGAGTTGAGTTGTGAAGTAATTGTGGAAAAGATATGAGGTTTATAATATTGTCTCCCTTGCCAGAGGTTATTGCTTTTGATATTGTTTTCCTTGACGGGATATTGTTGTTATGCTATTGTTCCTTTGCCGGGATTCTATTGTGATTTTATTAATTCTCTTGCCCGTATTGCTTTGTGATTGTTGTTTGGGTAAGGAAGAGTGTAAAAGCACGAAGGGTGATGCCGTGCATGATATTTGTGAGAGAGTGTTAATGCACAAAGTGTGATGCCGTGCCGATATTGTGAGGTTAAAGCACGAAGGGTGATGTTGTGCCGCACGATGTACAATGTCGTGCCATGATATGAGTGATAATGCGCGAAGGATAATTCCGTGCCATGATTATGTGAGGTAAAAACACGAAGGGTGATGCCGTGCCGATTATATTGATTCTTATGGTGAGGAGGAGAGTAAAAGCACGAAGGGTGATGCCGTGCACTTGTCTTTGATTTTCCTGATTCTTGCTGATAATTGAGTTATGGTGTTCTTTACGTTTATTTATTGGTTTTCTGTTGTTACTTGATTTCCCGGCAGCATGTTTTCCCCCCTCCTATCTTTACCTGTAAATTTCTGCCTTTACTTTTCCGTTGTATATGAATTAACTGCATAGGTTTAGTTGGTAGTCAGGTCCTAGCCTCGTCACTACTTCGCCGAGGTTAGGCTAGGCACTTACCGGCACATGGGGTCGGTTGTGCTGATACTACACTCTGCACTGTGTGCAGATCCCGGTGCTGCAGCTTTTGGATCACAGTGAGGTTGCTGCTTCCAGTCCATCAGGCGACCCGAGGTAGTCCTGCAGGCGTCCGCAGGCCTTAGCATCTCCTTCTATCATTTTCCTTCTGTTTTTACTTATTCAGAGACAGATTCGTGTATTTCTATTCAGACTTTATTTGTAGTATTCGTAGATGGTCCGTGACATTGTGACACCAGATTCTAGGTAGAATTGTACTTAGACTTCCGCAATTTGTATTAATCTAGACTATCAAATTTCGTCTCCCGCATTTGTTTGTGTTATTATTATTTCCACTGCTTTTGTTATGTTGTTTTGAAATTGTTAAGGGTTTAAAAACAAAAATGGTTAAATAATTGGCTTGCCTAGCTTTCACTAGTAGGCGTCATCACGACTCCCGAGGGTGGAAAATCCAGGTCGTGACATGTAATATTTAATTTTTGGGATTGCCACATGATGAGGAAGAGTGTTTAATTTGGTTTCAGACTTTTGGCATATGCGAATCTAAGATTTGAATCTATAGATTCACCATTTTATATTCTTACCATTAAGAGGTCGTTTGGTAGCTGGTTAGGAGAAAACTAATTCATGTAATGGGGCCAATATAACTTATTTTGGTAGCCATTAGTTATTTTGAACTAATACCATGTTTGGTTGTCATTTTACAATTCTACATAAATAATACATGTATAAGTTATGAGTCAATTTCTGTATTATTTTATGCGGGATAGAAGATGAAATTCTAATACATATATTAGTAATATGTGGATAAAATATTGAAATGATAATTTTACCCCTATTACTTTACACATAAAGGCTTCCTTCATAGGTTGATCTGTATCAAACCCTTTGGAGAACAAGCGTGGAGATACTGATGCCTCACTGCTAGGCTCTTCCTCTTTTTAATCTATTAGAGACAAAATCAGTAAATAAGTATTTTACTTTAAAATTTATATAATGTACATCAATTCCTAATACAACAAACCAAATATTAAAAAAAAAAAAATCATGCGTAACGAATCCATGTACAACTAATGTCTGCATAATTAATCTCTGTATTATTTATTCCTGCATAACTAATACCCGCATAACTAATACATGTATAACTAATACCTTCATAACTCTAACCGGCAACAAACATTCCCTAAATTCGTTGCATTTTTTAAAGTATAGGATCATTCTACTATCTATTATTCCCCTCGGTCCAAAATAAGTGATTTTTTAAATGTTTTCCCACAAATTAAGAAATTCACCTTTTAACATTAATTAACAATAACACTCCTAACACATATTCCAACACCATTTACTTCAAGGACAATGTAGGAAAAAAGTAATTAATTCATTCTTGAAATCCGAAAAAATTACTTATTTTAAACCACAAAAAAAAACTAAAAAACTACTTATTTTAAATCGAAAAGAGTATAATTTAATGTTATACTCGGTCAAAAATTATGAATTCAATTAAACGTGGCGTAAGAAGTTAAATTCACCTCCGGACTGGTGGCGGGACAGAAGGCGAAGGGTGGCT